TACCATCAGGTGAAAATAAGAACAGAAGACATCCCCAAAACGACCTTTCGAACCAGGTATGGATACTATGAGTTCCTGGTCATGCCATTTGGGCTAACCAACGCCCCGGCCATCTTTATGGATCTGATGAATAGGGTCTTTAGAGAATTCTTGAATCAATTTGTTATTGTATTCATCGATGACATCTCGGTATACTCAAAAAGCAGAGAAGAGCATGTTCACCATCTAGCCCAAGTTTTGCAGGTCATCAGAAAAAAGAAGCTATATGCAAAGTTGAGTAAGTGTGGATTCTGGCTTGAGCAGACTGCCTTCCTAGGATACATCATATCGAAGGAAGGAGTATCAGTGAATCCTGAAAAGGTTGAAGCAGTACTTGGATGGGAAAAGTTGACATCAATTAAGGAGATCCGTAGCTTCCTGGGAATGGCAGGTTATTACCGCAGGTTTGTCGAATGATTCTCTAGTCTAGCGGCTCCCCTAAACTGGCTCACAAAGAAGAATGCCAAGTTTGAGTGGAATGAAGACTGTGAGAGGAGTTTTTCAAAATTAAAGGAGCGGCTGACCACTGCACCAGTACTGACTTTACCGAGTGGATCGGGGGGATATACAGTTTATAGTGATGCCTCCTATCTAGGCCTGGGTTGTGTTCTGATACAGCATGGGAAGGTCATAGCCTATGGGTCCACACAGTTAAAGAATCATGAGAAGAATTACTCCACCCATGACTTGGAACTGACCGCAATCATACACGCCTTGAAAACCTGGCGTCATTATTTATACGGAGAGACCTTTCAGATATATACCGATCATAAGAGTTTGAAACACATATTCACCCAAAAGGATCTCAACATGCGTCAGAGAATATGGATGGAACTCCTTAAAGACTATGATTGTGATATCTTGTATCATCCGGGTAAGGGCAACGTGGTGGCAGATGCCCTCAGCAGGAAAAGTGCAGGTATCTTAGCCCATTTAATGGTTTCAGAACGCAGGCAAATTGGGGCCACACAACAAGTTCGGCTTTAGGACCGAAAGAGAGTCGCATGTTTGGGCTATTTAACCGTCCAGCCCGAGTTAATATAGAGAATAAGGGAAGCCCAGTCAGTCGACCCCGCCCTAGTATCCCGCAAGAATGATGCAGAACAGGGAGTGAGTTCAGAATTCCGAATCTCAGCCGATGGGTTACTCTAGTTCCAGGATAGGGTGTGTGTTCCAGACGACAGTGAATTAAAGAGAGACATCATGACAGAATCCCACAACTTAAAGTTTACCATGCATCCCATAAGTACCAAAATGTACCAAAGCATACAACCCCGATTTTGGTGGAATGGGATGAAGAGGGACATAACTGACTTTATATCTAAATGCTTGGTATGTCAGCAGGTCAAGGCAGAGCATCAACGCCCAGGCGAGTTACTTCAGCCTTTACCGATCCCGGAGTGAAAGTAGGAACATATCGCCATGGACTTCATAACGGGATTACCCAAGGCACGTTCAGGACATGACACTATCTGGGTAATTATTGACCGGCTTACCAAGTTTTCTCACTTCCTAGCCATCAGGATAACCGATCCCTTTGACAAGTTGGCAAGAATGTATATCCGGGAAATAGTCAGATTGCATGGAGTTTCAGTGACAGTGGTATTCGACAGGGACCCCAGGTTCACTTCTCGATTTTGGAGTAGCTTTCAGCAGGCCATGGGAACAAAGCTGTCTTTCAGTACTGCCTTCCATCCTCAAACTGATGGACAATCAGAAAGGACAATCCGCACACTTGAAGATATGCTCCGAGCTTGTGTCCTTGACTCTGGGGGTTATTGGGATGACCATCTACCCCTGATAGAATTTGCCTACAACAACAGTTACTAAGCAAGCATTGGCATGGCTCCGTATGAGGCGTTATATGGGCGCCCATGCAGATAACCGATTTGTTGGAAAGAAGTGGGCGACAGAAAATTGTTCGGCCCGGAGTTGGTGGAGGAGACCACGTCTAAAATAATTAAAATCAGAAAGAATATTCAGACGGCTTAGAGTAGGCAGAAGAGTTATGCGGACACCCGGATGAGAGATTTAGCGTTTGAACAAGGCGACCGGGTGTTCCTTAAGGTCACTCCTTTCAAAGGAATTAGTAGGTTTGGCAGGAGGGAAAAACTGAACCCCAGATTTATTGGACCATATGAAGTCTTAGACAGGATTGGTGTTGTCGCCTACAGACTGGCACTGTCTCCAGAACTCTCAAAGGTCCACAATGTGTTCCATGTATCCATGCTACGTAAGTACAACCCAGACCTCTCTCATGTCTTGGCTCATGAACCGCTTCCACTTCGAGAGAACTTATCTTATGAGGAAGTACCAGTCGGTATCACGGACCGAAAGAGCATAATACTCCGCAATCGGGAAATATCATTTGTAAAAGTAGTGTGGCAGAACCACTCGCCAAGGGAGGCTACATGGGAGATAGAATCAGACTTTAGAGCCCAGTATCCCCATTTGTTCGACCAAGAGTAAGAGACAAATTTGGGGGACCAAATTTCTTTAAGGGGAAGAGAATTGTAACACCCAAAACTTTTTTTATTATTTTATTTTAATTTTTATTAGAATTTTGTTTTATTTTATTTTATTTTAATAATTAATTTATAAGGTTTTAATTTAATTTAATAAAAATAATAATAATAATAATAAAATTGGGTAAAATTAATATTGGAATTTAATTGAAATTGATTTAGGGAAAAATGGGTGAAAATTTAGGTTCTTAGGGTGTTTTTGAAAAGAAAATCGAAAATCGGATGTCAAAACGCAATTTAGAAAAATAGTGTCACGTCAGCAGCCACGTCAGCAGCCCGATCAGCAGCCCCGGCCATCCAAGACACACCGCGTGGCAAGGACGTTGACGCGGGAAGCCACGCGGGATGGAGACACGTGGGTGATCCGCGCGATCGGACAGCCCAGATCCGTTTCCGCGTGCACAAACGGCCCAGATTTATTTCTAATTTAATCGCGATTGGACGGTCCAGATTAAATTGTGATGGACAGTTCATATTAAAATGGGAAGATTATAAATAATTGCATCCACACCCAACCCCAAACCCTAGTCGCCAGAACCCTCGCCGGAGAAGACGACCCAGCCACCAGAGGAACCGGCCGCCGCCACCCGCTGCCGCACCGGAGGATTTTTCGGCCGCTAAACGAGGTAAAATTTCTCCCCTTGGCTTGTTTTTTGATGATGAACCTCCATGTGGCCAAATTAGAGCCAAACCACCGGCCAATTGGCCGAAAAATACCGCCGAAGTTCAGCGGCACCGCCGCAGATTTCCTCAGTTTTTGCCTCCGATGAGGCCCTTCCCGGTTCCCATTCAATGTAATTTTTACACCACTGTGACCACCGTTCTTTTCTCTACAGGTTGACCGGAGCAAAACACCAAATTGCAACTCGCGCCGGAGGAGCCGCCGCACCCACCCCGCCGCTAATAAGCCTCGATTTTTTGTAATTTTTTGGCCCACCGAGGGCCCTAAGGGTGTTTTATCACAGGAACCAATGCAAGTTTGGCCGAATTCGACCAAAAACGGTCGGAAACGGCCAACCTGAGGTGGATCGCCGCCGCAGGTGGCGGCGCCATCACTGGAGCACGGCGGAGCCACCGTGCCGAAATTTTAAAATTGGTCGAAAGGGCCCTGGGTCTGATTTGGGGTTTTTTGGGGACATGTGCAGATACCGAAAGTGTGTTTCAGTTTTTGGAGAAAAATTCAGGGAATCTAGGGACTGCTCGTAGACGTAGTGAGAACCCAATTCTAGACTTCGAAACAAGTAAGGATCTCTCACCTTATTTCCTATTACGGCATTAAAGCTTAATAAATGATAAAACAATATTTATGAATTAATAGATATGTATAATTAATTAAGGTTGCTAATGGAGCCCGAATTTGATGTATTTTTCAGTCAGTTATTGTTTGATTTATTTTACAGTTTTAAATGCAGTATGGTGCCTGATGTGTTTAGTCTGTAGTTTCGTATGTATGAATCACGGTTTCATTTATTATGGTTTGAATTATTGTGAACCCGATGTTGTGTTGTCTTATTTGGTGTCCATTACTGGTTTACGTGTTTATGTTTGATTGGATAATTGAGACTAAGAAAAATAAAAAAAATGTATGTGAATTGATAAATGGATAATGTCAACAGCCTAACTAGATATCCTGGGAGATGGTGGACGGACCGGGTCTGTAGGGAACCCTACCGGGAACGTGATCTCTCATATCGGACGGAGTATGGAGACTTTATGTGTTTTGGCGCCCATACCGGACGGGGTATGGGGACGGCCCGTTTCACCCTCGTACTGGACGGAGTATTGAGGTTTATAGTTTTGGCGCCCATACCAGACGGGGTATGGGGACGGCTCTGGAATTAAGTCATTAATGTGAATAGTTCACATGTAGCGGGGACCCCCTATGGATCCCCATAGATACTAGTAGGCTGATAAAAGAGAAAATTTGTTGCTTGATGATTGAAATACAAAAGTATAATATGTGTTATGTTACAGAGTGTGCATGATCTTATGATGTTTATAATATTATTATTTTTCATAAGTTGTCTTCATGAATCTCACCGAGATAAGTGGACAGTAAAGATTTTTATTATTGATAAATGAGTTTGTTATAAATTATGCTCCATTGATCGTTTTTATTTTCTACCAACCTCTACTTCTGTGATAGTAAGATAGTGTGATATCTTTACTGAGTTAGTGTAGCTCATTCCTTACTTAACTATTTTAGATCAGAAAGACTTGGTTCCCGAACCCGTTCAACAGGAAGACGGCAAGTAGATGTCTAAAAATTTCATAATTTTATTTATAACATTCATCTCTAATATTTAATTTATTTAATTTATTCTTTCATACGTTTAGTACGTTTGGATTATTGTGTAAGAAATATTAATCAAAAATTTTATTTCTCTTCCTTAAAATTTTTCTAATATATACATTTCCCTTCCGGGCCGTTACACTTCAGCTGTCCAGCAACCTCCCATGGCTCTACTTACGCCTCCCATTTCACTCCACCTCCACCATCACCATCATCTCCAACCTCCCGCCATATGGATAAACAGTGCTCAATGGCCAGAACGCAGACGCTCTATTCCTTCAATCTTCATTCCAAATGCATCTCTTTCTCTATCCCTCCAAACCCATCATAGGCACTCAGTGAATGAGTTCCCTTTCTTCCATCAGATAACGAGCCTTTGCCAAGTGGGAAATCTAGCTCAAGCTTTGACTCTTCTTCGAGACAGCATCAGTGGCGAACCTTCGGATTCATTGCATGTCAAAGAAGCTTTGGGCGTGTTGTTACGGGGTTGTGGCCAACAAACGGACATCGAAGTCGGGAGGCAAGTTCACAAATTGGTGTCGACTTCGACCCAGTTTAGAAATGACTTTGTTCTTAATACCCGCGTTATCACCATGTATTCTATGTGCGGTTCTCCTTTGGATTCTCGCTCTGTTTTTGATAGTTTACAGAGGAAGAATCTGTTTCAGTGGAATGCGATTGTTAGTGGGTACACGCGAAATGAGCTTTATCATGATGCATTGAAGATGTTTCTGGAATTGCTTTCGAATGCCGAGTTTATACCTGATAATTTTACTTTGCCTTGTGTTATTAAGGCATGTGGGGGGATTTTGGATGTGCGGTTAGGACAGGTGGTTCATGGGATGGTGGTGAAGATGGGTTTAATTGATGATGTGTTTGTGGGTAACGCTTTGATTTCTATGTATGGTAAATGTGGGTATGTTGTTGATGCGGCGAAAGTGTTCGAGGTTATGCCTGAGAGAAACTTGGTTTCATGGAATTCAATGATTTCTGTGTTCTCTGACAATGGATATTCTCAAGACGGTTTCTGTTTGTTTTCGGAGATGGTGGCGGGTGAGAAATGTTTAATACCGGACACGGCAACGCTGGTTACTGTATTGCCTGTTTGTGCTGGTGAAGGAGAGGTAGAAACGGGAATCTTCATTCATGGCTTGGCAGTGAAACTGGGGTTAGATCAGGAAGCAACAGTGAATAATGCACTAGTTGACATGTATTCCAAATGCGGCTACTTATTAGAAGCTCAACTTTTGTTTGATAAAAATGGCAGCAAGAATGTGGTTTCTTGGAATACAATGATTGGTGGTTTCTCCACATGTGGAGATGTTCATGGGACTTTTGATGTTCTGCGGAAAATGCAGATGGAAAAGGAAGTGAAGGCAAATGAAATCACCATTTTAAATGTTTTGCCAGTTTGTGTGGAGGAACTTCAGTTGTTGAAGTTGAAGGAACTTCATGGTTATTCATTCAGGCATGGGTTTCAATATGATGAATTGGTAGCCAATGCTTTGGTTGCTGCCTATGCAAAATGTGGGTCACTGAGTTATGCGCAAGATTTATTTAGTAGCATAAGGAGAAAGACAGTGAGCTCTTGGAATGCGTTGATAGGTGGATATGCTCAGAATGGTGATCCTAGGATGGCGTTAGATTTATATCGTCAAATGAAAATTTCAGGATTTGAACCAGATTGGTATAGCATTGGTAGTCTACTTTTAGCTTGCACCAATCTGAAATCACTACCCTATGGCAAAGAGATACATGGTTTTGTGCTTCGAAATGGATTTGAATCAAATTCTATTATAGACATCTCATTGCGATCACTTTATATA